CCATGCTGAGGCCGCGTCCCACATACAGCAACTAGAAGGATGTGCAGCTATGACATACAACTATCTACTGGGGCTTTGGGGGGAAAAATGAATAAATAAATAAAATTACAAACATGGCTGTACTCATGTTAAGACACTCTGTCACCTGATTTATGACAAAGAAGACAAAGCAATGAGGAAAGGATGGTATTTTCAGTAAATGATGCTGAGTCAACTGACTATCCATACAGAAAAAAAAGTGTACCTTGATGTCTACTTCATATTACACAGAAAATCAATTTACACAGATTGCAGATTTAAATGTTAAGGGTAAAACAATAAAACTTTCAAAGGAGAACATTGTTGTGACTTCAGAATAGGCAAAGATTTCCAAAACAGGAGACAAAGCCCTAACCACAAAGGGGGAAAAATGATAAATTGAACTATACTAAAATTATAAACTTCTATTTATTAAAAGACAACATTAAGAGAGTGAAAAGTCATCCCACGGAATGGTAGAAAACATTCACAATACATACATATACCCAACCAGGACTGGTATCCAGAATAAAGAATTTCTATCAATTAGTAAGAAAAAGTCAGACAGCGGGAGCTCTCACACACTGCTGATTGGAATATAAATTAGCACAACCACTTTGAAAAGTTGATCACCGGTATCTACTATGACCCAGCAGCTCTACTCCTAGGTATACACCCAACAGAAATGTGTTCAATTTTTTTTTGTCTGCATACAAGTAACATGGGATGTATTCATTTGTGAAGAACTCATTGTGCTGTATTCTTGGGGCTTGGGTACTTTTCTATGTTTATATTATGATTCAATAAATTTTTTGAAGGAAAAGCCTCACAGAACACAAGGATTTATAGCTATGGTTCAGCAAAATGACAAACTATTACTTGTACTTGAAATCCAAGTCTCTCATGAAGAATCGAAACCATATAAATAGAGTAATAAATAGAAAATATTCACTGTACTTATTGTCTAATATGGAATAGTTCTTAAGATTGAGGGCTTTAGTAATATATGCCTAGAACTGAAACCCATCTCTGCCACACACTTAATCTGTGTGACATTGGGCGAATTACTTAACCTTTCTATACCTCTGTTTGCTCATCTGAAAAATGGAGATGCTAATAATGGCACCTACCTTAAAAGACAGCTATGAGAATTCAATAAGCTAATATTTATAGAGAGCTTAGTACAGTTTCTAGCACACAGTAAGCAGCCAATGTGTGTTTGCCATTATTATTAACATTAATGTTTCTTTAACAGATATTTACTGATACCTTACTCTGTGCAAGGCATAAAGTTAGTTCCCTCAGAGATAAAAGAACTGAAGAAGATAAAGCGATTAAATCCTATGGTTGAAAACCCTGGAGAGGGCCGGCCCCATGGCTTGGCGGTTGAGTGCACGTGCTCCGCTGCTGGCAGCCCAGGTTCGGATCCCCGGCGCGCACCGCTTCTCCGGCCATGCTGGGGCCGTGTCCCACATACAGCAACTGGAAGGATGTGCAGCTATGACATACAACTATCTACTGGGGCTTTGGGGGGGGGAAATAAATAAATAAAATCTTAAAAAAAAAAAAAGAAAACCCTGGAGAGCCTAGGGCAATGACCCACACATATTATACAGTGGATAAATGTTTATTACTGCTGTTGCTCAGATGGTAATGAGTATTGTACTTTCATTTATGTTACATCTGGAGACTGGCAGGTAGAGAGCCATAAATTCATATTTGACTTAAAGATTTGATTTGAGCACTAGAGATTTAACAGTGATGAATAAATGAAGAGCAATATGATATATTGGAGTACATGAGGGAGCCATTTGGTTGAAAACTAATTTGGCTCGAACTTGTTCTTGCAGAAAGGCCTGACATGGCCTGTTAAGCATGCATTGTACATCTGCTTTAAACATTTACAATGTCCCAAAGCCAAGAATGATGTCCTTAAAGATAGCCTCCCCCATATCAGCAATTCTTTAAGGATAAGCATTTCTTCTCAGAAACTAAGGATTAATTAGAGACCTGCTTTAATTCATCTCACGACCACTGACCTGCTGACCACCGACGTGCTGTGCTCACCTTGTGACCACCTACCTACTGTGCTAGCAAACCATCTCATGACAGCAGTAAAAGAGATATTCCAGTTATACGTGATGTACGTTCTTTGTTCCAAGACAAAGAATACATGTATAACCACTATATAACCACTCTGTATACCCCGCTTCTTTGGAGAGCTTCCTTCCTTGTGGAAAAGTTCTCCAGGGCTATAGTCCTCAAACTGGCTCATAATAAACTCACCCCAATTTTGATTTATAGATTGATTACAAATTATTTGCATTGACAACAGTAAAGGTCCATGAGTTTGGAGATAAGAAGTCGAGAGGTCGATGAAAAATATGTTAAAATAATGTGGTGCTCATAGCCCAGATGAACAGAGCTAATGAAATAAATCATACTGATTATTATCAGATTTTTAAAAAATTCATTATAAGACATTTATGAGGAAAAAAACTCTGGATGACCATGAATATTTTGACAATATTTTTCCTAAGGGAAAGAAGATTCGCTTTTAAAATGCAGAACTTATTTGTTGAGTCAAAGACCAATACTACCTCAAATGTCCAGGTTCTATTGACTCCTTCCTCCATAGCACATAATCCCTCTTACCAAAACTAAACAAAACTCGGTTTCATTTGAAGGCACTATTGCTATGGTTTCAAAATTTGGAAAGCTCTTGGAAGTAAATTTTGAGAGAGGTAAAAGTTGAGTGACAAATGCATCGAAACCCCCGATTCAACAACAACAAAAAGATCTTAGGGCTGTACCGCCCTGTGGATTGCTGGTTCCCAGTTTGAAATGCCCTAACACAGGTTGGTAGAGCTCAGTGGGCTGGTACCCTTAGTATTTGTGATGACGCCTTGTTTCTGGAAAGGCTTGTTTCTGCAAAGTCCACCTAATGAAAACTAGCTACTGAATAATCAGTATCACATCAAAAGAAATGCCTTTCTTCTAATACTGGAGAGCTTTACTACAGCCAGGGAGAATTGATATGGTGGGTCCACAGGTGTTAGGGCTAGCGAATTCCACCAATAAGGTATGTTAAGAGGCAGGAGAAAGCTTCTGGCAGGAGGACATTGGGTCGGCTCCTCTAACGCTCCACGTCACGTGGGGACGGAATGTTCGAGTCCCTTTCCCGCCCTGGGAATGGACTGGAGGAGCGCGCGACCCTTGCCGCCTCCAGGCCCCGCCCCCTCTCGCGTGGCCCCGCCCATAGATGCTCGGGGTCCAGCGGCTGCCAGGATAGCAAAGGCTGGGGGAGGGGCTCACCCTTGCCCTCGGGGTCCCTCGGGCTCCGCCAATCAGCGAGCGCCCTGTTGGCTGTCCGCGGGGCCCCGCGCCCCGCCCCCTGGCGCCGGCCTCCGCTTCCCAGAATCCAAGATGGCGGGATCCAGGCAAAGGGGTGCTCAGGCCAGAGCTCGGCGGCTCTTCTGCGCTTTGCTGCTCTCGCTTAGTCGCTTCGTCGGGGGCGACGGCATGGGAGGCGACCCCGCGGCCGCAGGCACCCCAGCGGCGCTGCCACATCGCCGTTTCGAATACAAATACAGCTTCAAAGGGCCGCACCTGGTGCAGAGCGACGGGACCGTGCCCTTCTGGGCCCACGCGGGGAGTAAGCCGGGGCGGAGGGCGGGGGGCCCGGGTCCCCTCCCCGCCTTGTGCCTCCTCCTCTTCACCTTCTCTCCGCTGCACGCCATATGCGCGGGGGTGGGGACGCTTCTCAGCAGTCCCGCCTGCAGGTCGCCTCTGGTCCGCAAGGTTCCCTCCGCCTGCCCCTGAGCCTTGCCCCCCATTCTGTCTACCTGCCCTTCCTGCTGTCCTCCCTCCTTTGATCTCATCGGTTCTTTCTGTTTGATCTAGAGGTGTTTTGTTACTTCCTACACTTCCAAGCACTCACTTCAACTCGCTTCTAGGCATCACGTTTCACCCTAACGCCACGTCTCAAGAGGAGACCTCCCGCACCCCCCACCCCCAGCCATCCCAACCTGAGACCTGTTAAAGCAGCCCCCCTATTTCCTTTCCCGCTTCCCCTCGGCTCTCCCCTGCTTTTTTCCCTCCAGTGTTAGCAATGTAAGTTAATGCTCCAGTTTGTACCTGATGCCCCCTGACGGATCCAGAGATGGCACATGTTGGTTTTAGAGTAGTTTTTAAGTCTATGTCAGAGGACATTCTTCTCACCCTATTGGAACTGTATCTTAAATTTGCCTCTCTCAGTAACTTCGTGTGGTCTTTGATCTTTTCTCTTGTATTAACACATTATGTAATAGTCACACTCGTTCCTTTAGTAGAAGAAGCGATATAGTTTTTGGTATTGTTTCAGAACTTGAGGCTAAGAATAGCATTATATCTGCAGCTTTTCTCTTTTTTAGTTTTTTTGAAAAGTTAGAATAATCTGTGCTCCATGTTTTAGTCACTCTGTGTGTTTGGCACTGTTAGTTGATAAGAGAGCCTTGCTAGACATTTACATATGTGAAAGAAAACGTATCTGTACTTTAGTGCTGATGTGTCACTGCTGACTAAGGAATCGGCCATAGCACTTGGCATGCTGTAAGCTCTGTTCAGTGACCATCAGGTGCACCCTTTGAAGCAGTGGCAAATGCCTTTATATGGGGTGAGAAGCTCTGGCAATTTGAATTCCATCTTTATGTGTAAGCAGTCAGTTATATTAGGTTTGTATACGTCATTTTAGATTGTCTGATGCTTGAAACAAAATGTTCCATTTCTAGAAAGTAATTATGGAATAGAAAGCACACTTTTAGGAAGGGCCATTTCACTGAAATTAATATATAATTAAAAGGTATAAATTTCAATTTGAGTTAATGACCAAGTTACTAGATATTTGAAATAGGGTGCAATTATTTTGTTACTCAGCAGACATTTATTATGTGCCCACTCATCAAGGGTGTATTGCTGGGTATTTGTTATCAAGGTAACATTGTTTTTAATACACAAAGGTGATGCAGATATACCAAACACAAGTTTTGGGGTTTTTTGTTTTTCTTTTTGGAACGATGATGAAATTTTCAGCAGTGGTGATGAATTTATTCACACTTTTTCACTTCTGCATCTCTCCATTGCTTGCTTGCTCTTCTGTCTTTTTCTTACACTTAACACCGCATACCTCAGCCAGTTAGCAATATTAATCAATTACCCAAATTAGTTACTTTGACTTTCTTTATAGAGCCTATAAGCAGCTCAGCTTGTCTGCTGCAGAAATGTCAGATAACATACCTGGGTGAATTAAAGTTTCATGGCTAGACTGAATTTGAAATAAAAGGATTACTATTTTTTTTTTTAAATTTTTTATTATTTATTTATTAGGGTTCTCTTTTCTTTTTTTTTGGTGGGGAAGATTCGCCTTAAGCTAACGTCTTTTACCAGTCTTCATTTTTTCCTCCCCAAAGTGCCAATACATAGTTGTATATTCTAGTTGTAGGTCCTTCTAGTTCTTCTATGTGAGCTGCTGCCACAGCATGGCTACTCACAGACGAGTGATGTGGTTCCATGACCCGGAACCGAACCTGGGTGGCCAAAACGGAGAGCACCGAACTTAAACAGCTAGGCCATGGGGCTGGTTTAGGATTACTATTTTAGCTGTGACTTTTCTACCTGCTGACTCTGGGAATCACTGCTGTGGGTATCCCTTGCTTTCATTATCACTGTAATTTTTACACCCTCACTGTTTTCTTTACTCCATTGATCGTTTTTTTCCTTTTCGTTTTGCCCTGAGATCCATTATATAAAACAGTTTTTAAAAATAGGGAAATTTAAGATTTAGTTTAAACATGTCCCTTTACATTCATACCCAAATTAAGACGAAATCTATGGTGTTTCTTTTTCTTACCTCTAATGTCCTTTTATACTGTCACTGTACATCCTTGGGTGGTTAAAGGCAAAAGATGATAACAATTTGCAACTCTTTTTAGCTCTCAGATCTCTTTCACCTTCATTCTCTGGTTTGATCCTTAGTAGGCAAGGCAAGCATTATCTATTTTATAGATGGAAAAACTAATGTTCAGAAAGGTTAAGCTTCTTGGAAAAGGTTACATAGCTAGTGTCAGTAGACTAGAACTCAAATCCAGGTCTTCTGATTCTGTGTCTAGTACTCTTTCTTTTTTTTTTTTTTTCTTTTTTTTTTCAATTTTATTTTTATATTTATTTTTCCCCCAAAGCCCCAGTAGATAGTTGTATGTCATAGCTGCACATCCTTCTAGTTGCTGTATGTGGGACGCGGCCTCAG